GGAACGCCTCCTCCTGCCGCGCTTTTCGGCTCTGCGCTCCAGTGACGCCACCCCAGCTCCCTGGTCCTCAGTCTTTCCTTCTGTGAAAGGGGCGAATAGTGATCGCGCAAGAGATGACCCTTGTCAAGCGCGAGCTGCAGGGCCTGACTTTGGGAAAGCCTTCTCCCCCTGTACCGCCCCCCCGCCCCCATAAAGCTTCTAGCCCTTTTTTCAGTGGTGTTGTCACGGGCCCACCTTCTCTCCCAGCCCACACGCCCTATTCCAGATCTGCCCTGGAGGCAGCACGGGGCTGGGGCGCTGTGCAGGCACCTCCGGGGGCACCGCTGTGGGAGCCAGCTCTTCCAGCCTGCCCCGTGCCGCCCCCCACCACACCCCCACTTCCCCTACAGACTTGACTTGGGGTCGCTGCCTGCAGGGGTGGGCCTTCCAGCAGGGTATTTTCCCTTCCGAAGGGGGCGGACCCTGCGGTTTCCTCCCGGGGTGACTTCCGGCAGAGAGGACTTGGCCCCCAGAGAGGGCGGGAGGTGACACAGTTGTTCCCCCAGCCCTGCGGGGCGGGCAGCACGGTTCACTCCAGCATGGGGGCTCCAGGTAAGGCCCGCGCCGCCGCGCAGAGTTAGGGCAGCTCCGCGGGGTTGGGCCGGCCCTGCCCTTCCTCCTGCGCTCTCTGTGCTTTCGCTCTGGTCCTCAGCAGCTTCCCCTTCCCACCCTGGTCCCCCTCCAGCTCGTTTTTCGTCTCCCCTTCCACAGAAGACACCTGGGGGCTCCCGACCTCTTCGCCCCATCTCTGCCGCCCTGTCCCCAAGGCTCCCGGGGAGGGACACAAGCCGGGTTGGGAGTGGGCTCTTCTGTGGACCAGTGGGTGGGTGACAGGAGCCAGGGCTGCAAATGGGTGGGAAGGCTGAGCGACTTGCTGGGCTTGAGAGTGTGCGGTCTGTGAGAGGTAGTGGCGAGCCTCCAGGGTGTGATTGCCGTGCGTCCGCGTGTGCGGGAGAGTGCGGGCTGTGGTGTGTGCCACGGGAGGGGTCACCTTAGCAGTGACCTCTGGGCTCACTTCTTCACTTCACTGGCCTCAGCTGTCACCTTCTCAGGGAGGCCTTCCCTGACCTCCCCATCTGAGCTGGCAACTGATCCCGCCCGTCTCAGCCCCCTTGCCCCGCTTCGTCTTTTCTTCGTGGCACTTACCACCCCCAAAATGTTACATGTTCGTGTGCTTAGTAACTGCCCCCCACCCCATGTCAGTTGACTGAGTGCACACTGAGCCCCAGGTACTGCACGAGGCGGTGTGGGTTTGCTGCCTCGTTTGGTGTAATGTGTCGTTCTCTGCATAATGATAGTATCTCTGCATAATGAGGGTGCTGATGGGAGGCTTACAGGAGGTAATACACGTCAGTGCCTAACACAGTGCCCGGAACCCTGGGTGATTGCTTTATTTGTGACCATGTAGGCACGACTGTGGGTATGTGTCTCATTCCCGGGTGTCTGTGGGGATGAGCCTTGCTTTGGTGCTTGCCGTCCTGTGTGCATCGGTGTGTGTGATCCTTCATCAACATGTATTTATTCGGCGGTTCTGTGCTGGATGTTGGAAATACAACTGGGAGGCAGCTTCAGTTCTGTACCGCTGGAGTCCCCCGTCCAGTGGGAGAGACAGATCTGTCACCGGGAAGTGGAGCAGGCACGGGGGAGGAGGGTCAGGGCTGGGAGGCCGAGGCACAGGGGACTGTGGGAGCCCAGAAGACTTGTCCAGTTCGGTCTGTGGGGTGTCAGGGAAGACTCCCTGGAGGAGGGGATGTCTGGGCTGACATGGGAAGGATGAGTGGCTGTGAGCACGGCAAAAAGGTGGGGAGGGGATTAAGATGGAAGGAAGATACCTTTCGGGATCACGTGATTATTTATTGAAGTGATCATATGTGCAATCATGTATGTATGTTCGTGTACATTGTGGACACAGACGTCCAGGGCATCTGCACACACATACCGTTTGCTCTCTACTGACTAATCCCTGAATGGGGTTGAATGGGGGTCCTATACATGCCAGGCACTGGGTTAGACCCTTTACTTGGATTTCTCATTGAATTGGCCTGCTCGGGAGGCCTGCCCTGGGTCCCCCCACCTCGACAGGAATCAATACATTGTGTGACCTGGGGCAGATCACTCATGCTGCCTGGTCTTGGTCTGCACATCCGTGGACTAAGTTCGGAGGTCCACCCCGGCCATCTCCCAGGCTGAGGTGGCTCCGGGTGTGTGAGTGTGTGCACGTCTGTGTATGCGTGTCTAGCTTAGTGACCTGGGTGTATCTGTGGATGCACATCTGTCTGTGAGTGACTCTGGCTGTGTGAATGTGTGCACATCTGTATCTATCTATATATCTGTCTGTGAGTGACTCTGGGGTGTGAGTTGTATGAACATCTGTGTGTGTGTATCCGTCTGAGTGACTCTGAATGGTGAGCATGTACATGTCTGTCTGTGTGCCTGTTTGAGTGACTGGATGTGTGTGCATGTCTGTCTGTGTGTCTGAGTGACCTGGATGTGAGTGTGTGTCTGTCTGTCAGTGAGTGACTCTGTGTAAGTGTGGAATGGCCTTAAACAACCAACCAAACCTTCTGTGCAAATGGGTCTCGGTGTGTGAGTGCGTATAAGCAAGTGCAGGTGTGCACACTCATGTCTGGTGTGTTTTGCATATCTGCCCGTGTCATTGTGTCTGGGCCTTTGTCTTCATCTGCACACATGCCTGTCTGGGGTCTGTGCACACCCTGTGTGTGTTGCAGGTCTCTGTGTGTGGCTGGGACCCTGCTTGGTGTGTGTGCTGTGGCAGCTCTTGCCTGTTGTCAGCACAGCTGTGGGGCCACATCTCTTGTTGTGTCTGCCCGTATCTCCATCCCTCCCTCCTGACAGCTCAGAAGCATCCACTCCCTTGAGGCTGCCCAGGGACAGCTGTGGGGGTGTGGGGGTGTGAGGTGTGGTTCCTGAGAGGCTGGGACAAGGCCAGCTGGCCCGCAGAGGTTCCCGGCAGCACCGACCCAGCCCAAAGGGGCTCCCAGGCCAAGCTTTGGTTGAAGCAGGCTGTGGAGGCAGGGGACCCAGGGGACAGGCCAAGCGGGGCCAGGAGGGGTGAGGGGCAGCCCTAGGGCCCTCTATATTTAGCCCCATTTTCGGTAAGTGCTAACGAGAAGCTGACCCAAGTCTGCTAAAACTGGCTGGGGGAAATGCAGAGGAGAAGTGAAAGTCGGGTGGGAGGGGCGAGGGAGGGTGAGGAGTGGAGGGCAGCCAGAGTTCTAGGCCTGGGGCCATCGCTCGGGGCGAGGCCAGGGGGTGTGGGCACCCTGGGTGGGTCTGACTCTGGATGGTGGGAAACAAGGGGCCCATAGGATCTGTCCCGCGTTTCCCTTTTGGCTAAAAAGTTACACACTGCCTGGGAGGGGAGAAGGGCAGGACGGCCATAAGTAATCAGCCGAACTTTGTGTGCAAATGCGGCTTTGAGTGGGGCGTCAGAAGTTTCCAGGGGTGGGAGCGCGTGAGAATCACAGGGAAGGGGCCTTTTAAAAATCTGATACTGCCCAGCCGGTGAGACTCAGCATCGACCTATGAACCAGGAGGTCATGGTTCGATTCCTGGTCAGGGCACATCCCTGGGGGTGTGAGCTCCATCCCCAGTAGGGGACATGCAGGAGGCAGCCCACCAATGATTCCCTTTCATCATTGATGTTTCTATCTCTCTCTTTCTCTCCCTCTCCCTTCCTCTCTGACATCAATAAAAATATATTTTAAAAAACCTGATACTCAGGTTGCACCCTGTCCCAGGGAAATCTTGTCTGGTGTGGGAATAGCATTAGTATTTCTGTAGCCAAGAGAGAGGGCGGGGGCAGCCCTGCCTGGGCCCAGGTGCCGAATGCCTGCGGGGTGGGCAGCTCAGTGGCCTCTTGATGGGCTTGTCGGTGCCCTCCGGTCTCCATTAGGTCCTCGTTTGGCTTTGGGTTCCTGGTTGAAATGGAGCCCCTATTCGTCCTTGGAGGAAACGAGCCAGCGAGGCCTGGCTGAAGGGCAGCACTGACCACTTTGCCATTGGCCCAGCCTACGTGCCGTGGTGTGTGTGTGGCGGGGCCGGAGTGGGGGGGGGGGCGGTTTAGGGACAACGAAGGAATCAGAGAGGTGGAAATGTCCCCTCAAACCGCTTTTGCCCCTTCAGCCACTGTCCCTGCAGAGGGGGTGCCCTAAAGGTGTAGGTTAGAGCTTGGTCCAGGTGTCAGGTGGCAGCAGGGACACAAGGGCCTTGTTTGGACAGGATTGGGTCCTGGTCCCTCCGAGAATCCTTCATGTATGTCTTCATTCCGAAGATACGGTCCCAGCCTGAGTAGCGATGGCTGCAGCCTGGGGCCACAGTCTGGGGCTAAGAGTTGCTGCCCAGGTGGTCAGGGTATGTTAGGGGCAGGGGCACCCCAGATGAGAGGGACACTAAACACTTGGGCATTCAGGGAGGACCTCACAGAGGAGGTGACATGTGAGCTGGGGCCTTAAAGGGGAGCAGGAGTTTGCTGCTAGAGAAGGAAAGGGTCGCCCCGGGTGGGGGGAGAGCAGAGGCAAAGGCCTGGAGGAGGGAGATCAGGGCTTAGGGCCACTCTTGTTTATTGGACCCACGTATCTTATACTGGGCGGTGTCAGGCACCCCAAGATAAGACAGACCTGTCCCCCCCAAATTAATGATTTGGGGTGACGCCCGAATCCTCGCTGCTAATGTGAGATGAATTTTTGAGCGGGTAAAGGTTACCCCCTAGCCGAAACCGGTTTGGCTCAGTGGATAGAGGTCGGCTTGCGGTCTGAAAGGTCCCAGGTTCGATTCCGGTCAAGGGCATGTACCTGGGTTGCGGGCACATCCCCAGTAGGAGATGTGCAGGAGGCAGCTGATCGATGTTTTTCTCTCATCGATGTTTCTAACTCTCTATCTCTCTCCCTTCCTCTCTGTAAAAAATCAATAAAATATATATATTTTTAAAAGTTACCCCTAAGGTGACAAGCCTACTCTGTGGGATGCCGAGGTGTTGTGATCTGCCCAGGGAAAAAAAACACCATAGAACTGTCCTTGAGGGGGTCCTAGTCTGATGCGGGAGACATACTGGGGCCCAAGTGGCTACAGCCTCTAGGACAGTGATAAAGAGATGCTGGGTCAGGACGGAGGGAGGAGGGGAGAGCTATCTGAAGGCATCGGGAGTGGTGACTTCATAGAGGATGGAACTTGTGCTGGGTCCTGAGGGATGAGTAGGAGGTCGCCAGGTAGACAGTGTTCCAGGCAGAGGGACCAGGGCATGACAAGGTCTCAGGAAATTTGGTTAAATGGCAGAGACAGGAGGACAGAGGCAGGGACAAGTAAGAGACAGAGCTGCAGGGAGGGACATCAGCAAGCATTTATAATCTGTTTTTCTTGGTGGATGATGCCAGTGATGAGTCAGACCTAACTCTGCATCCTGGTCTGGCGGGAAGGGACTGGGACACAGGTGGCCACAGCCCTGTGAGCTCGGGGCTCGGACAATGGGAAGACACAGCCTGGGAGGCGGTATTAGTTTGCTGGGGGCTGCTGTAACACATAGCACGACTGGGTACTTAAACAACGGAAATTAATTTTCTCAAAATTCTAGACCAGTGGTTCTCAACCTTCCTAATGCCGCGACCCTTAATACAGTTCCTCATGTTGTGGTGACCCCCAATTTCATTGTTACAAATTGAACATAATTAAAGCATAGTGATTAATCACAAAAACAATATGTAATTATATATGTGTTTTTCGATGGTCTTAGGTGACCCCTGTGAAAGGGTCGCTTGACCCCCCCAAAGAGGTCATGACCCACAGGTTGAGAACTGCTGTTCTAGATGCTACTAGGCCAGTGTGTCTCAGTGGTTGAGCACTGACCCAGAAACCAAGAGGTCAACAATTCGATTCCCAGTCAGGACACATGCCAGGGTTGTGGGCTCAATCACTAGTAGGGGGCGTGTGATGGAGGCAACCAATCGATGTTTCTCTCTCGCATCAATGTTCTCCTCTCCCTCTCCCTCTCCCTTCCTCTCTCTGAAATCAATAAAAACATATTTTTTAAAAAATTCTGGAAGCTAGAAGTCCATGGTCAAGATGTTAACGAGACTGGTTTCTTCTGAGGTCTCTCTCCACATACAGTCACATTCTGTGGTTCTGGGGGTTAGGGCTTCGACATATGAATGTTGGGGGACACAATGTAGCCCGTAGCAGAGGCCAAGGAGGAGCACAGACTCTCTGGGGTGGAGGTGAGGTCAGAGGTTGCCCAGGGCGGTGGCAGGAGAGGCATCCACCAGCCAGGCGGGGAGCAGACAACCTGCAAGGTCTGAACCCCCCCCCCCCGGGTGAAGCAGAAGCCCAAGCAGAAGGAGTGCCTAGTGGTGGAAGAGCATGATGCCTGAGTGGTTAGAGATGGCAGTGGAGGGTAGCAGGGGCCACACCCCAATGCCAGGCCAAGGAGCCTGGGCTCTTGGGGGAGACGGGGAGCCAGGGGAGGGTTCAGCGCCAGGAAGCGCTGGATGTGGGATCTCCCTGGGGCGCTGTGGACACTGGCTGGAGGGAGGGGACAGGGCTGGGCAGAGGTGCAGGGATGCTAGGAGGGGTGGAATTTAGGGCTGCCTGAGGGTTAGCTGTTGCTTGGAGCAGGGCCAAGGGCTGAGAAGCAGGGCCTCACCACAGCTCCCTTTGTGCCCTCCTATGTCTCAGGATGTTGGCCACTCGGTGCCCTGTCCCCAGTGCCCAGGGCCCGAGCTCCCATACCGTCCTGGGCACCCGCTGCCCACCCCACCCTCACCAACCTACACCTTTAATAGGACTATGTGCTGGCTTATTCTTTTTTTTTTTTTGGTTTTGAAATGTTTTCTTTTTTTGTGAAAACATGACATACTCATAGGAAAGTGCCCAGGTTTTAAGGGTACAGCCTGAAGAACTTCCACGTGCGTACAAACTCACGTCAGCTCCCACAGGTCATGATGCACCCCTTTCCAGCCCCTTCAGCCCTCATCATGCCCTTTCCCGGCCGCACCCCTCAAAGGTACCCCCCCGTCTGACCTTGATCATCGGATATCATCTCGCCCCTTTCTGAGCTTCGGGTAACTGGAGTCCTACTATCCGCTTTTGTGTCCGGCGTCCTCCCCTCGGCATCAGGTCTGAGATCCGGCGGTCTGAGATGCAGGAGCGTGTGCTTTCCCTGCTGCGGCGTATTTCCTGTGTGGACAGACCGCAGTTTGTTGACCCGTTCCCCTGTTGACAGGCCCTGGAGCAGTGGTTCTCCACCTTGGCTGCACATTAGAATCACCTGGGAATCTTTTTAAACTCCTGATGCAGATGAGGCCCAGAAATCAGGATTTTTAAAAGATTCCCAGGTGATTCTAATGTGCAGCCAAGGTTGGGATCCACTGCCCTGGGGTTCTTTCCAGTTCAGGGCCTTTCCCGAAGGGCTGCTGGGAACACGTGCACCTGTGGGCATCGGTGGCCGGGAGGCCGGGAGTGGACGTGCGGAGTTGCAGGAGGGGCCCCCTCTTAGCTGCCCTGACTTGTGCTCGTATCGCTTTACACTCCCACCAGCAGGGTGTGACCTGGCTTTTCAATCAGGAATATTACACCCGAGTGACGTTTCGTGTCGAGTAATCTTCCGTTGCAGAATTCCTGGACTTGTCCGTTGCTGAGGCTGTCCCTGCTCTCTCTTCAGCCGGCCTTTTTGAAATATCGGTGCCGAGCACACTGGAGTTGGACAGCTCCTTCGATGGGGTGGGATCACGGTGGGTTTTGGAGTGACTGTGGGAGACACATTTGGATCTGAGTCAGGGTCATGAGTACGGTCTGAGGCCAATTTGGGAATCGAGTCCAAATAAAGGTCTTGGCCTCTTTGGATGGGAGTTGGGGTCCAGGGTGGGTAAGGGGATTGAGAATGGGTCAGGCAGAAGCCCAGAATTGGGGTGAGGGGGTGGGGGTGGGGGCCTAGAACCAGGAAGGATTGGTCTGGAGTCAGTGTCAGGGTGAGATTGGGTGGGGTGACTGTTGGAGGTGAGGTGGGTGGAAGTCATTAGCCTGCAGCAGCCCTGATTAAAAGCAGGAACCCTGCCCGGCTGGCGTGACTCAGTGGTTGAGCAGCGACCCATGAACCAAGTCATGGTTCAATGTTCGATTCCTGGTCAGGACACATGCCCCCAGCAAAGGCTCGATCCTCAGTGTGGGGCTGCAGGAGGCAGCCTATCAATAATTCTCTCTCATCATTGATGTTTCTGTCACCTCTCCCTCTCCCTTCCTCTCTGAAATCAATAAAAACATATTTTTTAAAAGCAGGAACCCTGGAGCCACAGAGGCTGGGGTCCAATCTCTACTGTCTCACTGCTTTTGGGGAGGTGACACCCCCTCAGAGCCTCCTTCCCTTCCCTGTGAGAGTGGGGTGATATTAGCACCAACTACTAGCGTGCGTTTGGAGGCTCACTCAGCCTGTGCTTGGCACCGGTAAGCACTCGGCCTTCCATGGCCAGCATCAGAGCTAGGACGGGGCACGGTCTCCATTGCATTGTGTTCCCTGGTGCCACCTCCCCTGGATACTTCCCTTCATTTCCGGGGTCTACAGAACTATAGAAAAGGATTGCGTTTTAGGGGCCAGGTATCTTGCTGGGACTTGGGGGTGCAGTTGGAATTCAAGACTGAAAGCCCAGGTGAGGTCTAGGATTAGGTTTGAGGACAAGGTCGGGGGCAGAGCCGGAAGGAGCTGGAGCTGGAGTTACTGAGATCAGAGTGGGGCTGCCCCTCTGGTGCGCCTGTGCACGAATACAAGGCCGGGGAGCCCGGCGCTGAATCACACCGGGGATCTTAAGACGCGCTCCTTTGGGGATGCTGCCGTCCTGTCACATCCCCCAGGCCCCGCTCAGAGTGGAAAACACGCCTCAGCTGAAACCTGGTGAGGCAGGACGGCCCTGGTGCCTGGGCGGTGCCTGAGCAGAGGCCGCGGCTGAGCCTCTCCTTTGGAACCTCGGCAACCTCCTCCCAGGCGGCCGGGCAGCCAGGTTTCTCAGGACCCCTGACCACAGTCTACATCCTGCCCTGCCCCGCAGCCTGCCGGGGCCGCCCTCCCTGTGCACCTTCCGAGGGTGGAAAGGATCAGGCAGGAGCCTCAAGGCCGGAAGGCCCCTCGCTTGTCCTCCCAGCGAAGGGCAGAGGCCACGGACAAAGGGCATGTCTCCCAGAAAGAGACGCTTGCCAGGTGGCAGGGGGTGAGGGGTTTGGGGAGAGGCTGCGGTGGTGCTGGAGGAAGGGCCGGGAGCTTGCCCTTCCTCACCCACTTCTATACTCCTCTGTCCCAGAAATAAGAATGTCTAAGCCCCTGGAGGCCGAGAAGCAAGGTCTGGACTCCCCGTCAGAGCACACAGGTGTGTGGGAAGCAGAAGGTGGGCAGCGCGGGTGGTGGGAGCTTCGGGCAGTGGGTGACATCTCCCCCTCCCCCTCTCATTGCAGACACTGAAAGAAATGGACCCGACACTAACCACCAGGTCAGGGGGTGTGGATGAGCCGGGGGTGGGGAGGGGAGACGGGAGCAGAGGGG